TATGTATAATAATTTTTTTTTTTTGTTTTCGCTCTACAATCACGTTAATATTCGTTTCGTTGGATTCTTGGAAATAGTTTCGTCTGTTTGTACATCGTAACAATATTTACAAGAAAATTTACAAATTACAAGTTAAGATGTTACACTATCTAGCCGATATTGGTTAGTCTTCTTAAAATGTACGGATAGGAAGTTAAAATTTCAAAGTCGAAAATGCTCTCTAAAAACTAATGATGTCTGTTATTCACCGATAAGCGATATGTCCGTCTAGTGGTGTCTGTGTGTGTGTGTGTGTGTGTACGTGTGTCGTTTTTTTTCCCCCTCGACCCTGTGTGTATCATATAGCCTCCCTGTTTTGCTTTGATATAAAATTGCTCAGCCACCCTGTAAACGTCCCCGCGTGCGTATACTATTGCCTCTTTTTTTTTTTTTGTATTTCCCGAACGATTAGGTGAATTAACCCAGAGCACATTATTTTTGCCGTGAAATCGAAGGAAAAAACACCTTTTGAAAATACTCTGTCACAGGTTGTCGATACCTTGATGACGCCGTATACGAGAGGAGATGCGCTCGATTCAATCGACGAGGATCGATCTTTTCGTGTTAGGATAGCTACGTTAAAAGTAGTAGTATCGGAGACGCGAAAAGAGTTATAGCTGTTCGGTTGTTCTTTATGTATATACTATAACATGTCGTTATCTTGTACGAGAGAAAATTAAATCACGGTTTCTCATTTCGTATCTCGCTGAAAACAACAATTTTCCTTTAAACGCGTTTTCTTCTTTAACCCTTAGAGCACGGAACAGCGCGAAGACGAGCACTTGCTGTGTTTCGTAGTCGTTTAGTAGTAGCAAACACTTTTCACCAAAGATACGAAACATAGTGGAACGTATTGTGTCGGTGAAACGAAACAACGATCAAGCGGTTGATCTATTATTATTCAAAAATTATAGGAAAAATGAATAGGAAGTTACACAGGTTATCGATTTTTTCTCGAGCTTGTTGAGATATACGTACATATACACTCATAGGCTGCAACGAATACAGTATTCTATTTAGGCGGATATTTACGAATACGCCTGTGAAACTGCAACCACGAGAGTTCTGGTGTGCGTACACATCCGCCTATAGTACTCTAAGGGTTACCGTGAATTTCCAAACTAATTCTTACGCTCGGCAACGAGACTTGTCGTAATTGCGACAACGTTTTTTATTAGCTTGATTATTACAACTACAATAGATACTCCTCGTAGCGAAATAACGTATAGCCAATTGTTTTCTCTAAAAATTGTACATTAGTTCGTAGTGTGTCAACCGAACGACTACGTCAATAGATGCTGAAAAAACACCACCATGTGCTTCGATATGTATTATTCACTTCCTTAACATATTCGTCCACCTTTAACGATAAAACGTTATCAATTTTTCTTCCTTCTTTCTTTCCTTTTTTCTTTTGCACTGGTTTCGTTTATACTCTTATCAAACTGAATTATTTCAATCGCTCAGCTCCGACGAAAACTCGCGCGCAGGAATTTTGATATTTTCCCTGCGACCGTTTCTTCTTCTTCTTCTTCTTCTTCTTCCTCTTCCGTCATGCTCTGCAATTGATGTGGGGCGGGAAAAAGGAAAAAAGGGTGAATCGAAGGGGGGAGGATCCGATTTCGATTCAAGAAAGCGATTGTCAATCGCGAATATGATGATTATCAGAATATTAGAATTCGCCTGAAATCCTCCGGAGTCGATGGATTTCGCTTCCGTGAACACATAGCCCCTCGACATTTTCGCCGGAGCCTTACATCTCGTAACACTATTTGCCATTCGACGAGAGCAACGGACTGGCGGCGTTTGAGTATCCTTGGCTGCAGGTGGGCAACATAAATGGATTCATGTTGAACGGTGAACCGACCACCTCTCCTAGTCCTGTAACATACCCACTGTCGGTTATACGTTAGTGTCATTCGGTTTTAACATTGTGATTGTACGGTAATTAGTGAATTAGTGATTGAAGAATTTTGGCTCTCAACTTGCTTGCGTTACCTACACCTATTTTCTCCCTCGTTAACTACATTTTGAGACGAATGTGGAATAGATTTGAAAATGGTAGAAAATTTTAATTAGATTTTATTAGATTTAAATTGTAATTATGAATATACAGGGTGGGCCACGTGTACAACAGGCCACCTAATTATCTTGTTTAGCTATGGTGTATTTTATAGGTAATTTAAATGGCTTCAAAGGATCAAATTTTTTTACAAATGTCATTTTTTTCTGCTTTCTTTTTCAAATTTGCCTACTTTTTTATATTTTATTTAAATATGTATGACAGTATGACCTTAAAATGACCACGAACTCTGAAATTTTAAATCAAATGTGAAATTTTCTTTCTCTTTCTGCCATTTCTTTGACCAAAAAATTTTCCTTCCATCTTATTCACCTTTTGAAACCATCGAAATTATATATAAAAATTATAGCTAAAAAAGACAATTAGTCGACCTGTTTTACGTGGTCCACTTTGCATAATTAAATTACGAATTGAAATTACATTGAATTATATTTATTTCTATTTCTTTTGCAGTTCAATTATTTAAAAAAGAATTAGATTCAGGATGTGAGATTTATATAACATTTGCATAATCTATAAAATCATACAAGCAAGGGTTTTCTACGAATCACTAATTCATACAAAACAATTTCAGGCATCGCACAACAGATGGGAAAAATTTTCAAGGGTGATGCTTCACGATAAAATAAAACAGAAATCAAGAGTAACAAAATTACTATCGAAGCTTTGCATTCCAGTCATAAACGTTTAAATAATTACTACAAATATTCCCAAAAACTATCAATTTCTTGTTAAGTCGCCAAGCCTAAGATAGATCGATAAATTATGCTATGCTCATGGTGAAAAACTGTGACACAACATTTGCCACAGCTTTTACGAAGCAAAATTGACGATAATTGAAACTTCATCTGACCTCCTTTATAGAGGCCGATTTAAAACGAACGGTTCGTTTTCAAGAATTATTAAAGAGACTTATAAAATGTTTATAACGAAGAATTCAAATTCGCAATTTTGTTACCATTGTTTCTTATTTTTTTTTCGTCGCATAGAATCACCCATTAAAATTTTTTCCAGCTGTTGCTGAACAACTTAAACAGATGGGGAGGCAATCGAACTCTGTTGTCCTGTTAATTTGTTTAAATTTTGTTATTAACTTCGTGCATGCTGTAATTATAACTTATGTACTGTAGGGATATTAATGAATCTGAGTAGTTTCAAATCGAACACTGGTGTGCATTAGGTGATAAAGAGTGTACCTAAGTATTCGAAACGTCGTTCAGACACGTGCCAACAAAACGACCACTTTAACGATACTAACGTTCTTGTCGGCTAAGTGATTCTCTTGATAATTGGTAGCAACGAACGTTATTGTACTATTCCTCTTCGAAAATGTATTTTTAAATCACTAGTATAAAAAAGCTGCGTGAATTTATTTGCGTCTTCCGGCAGTTAGAAAGTTTTCTTTTGCAATATAATTACTAACGCCATTCTTATCAATATTACTAACTTTTATGAATTATTATTAGCGACATTTTGCTCGAATTTTATCAATTTCAGCTATACAAATAATTGAACAGTTATGTAAAGTAGAATATTTTATTTAAAAAAATATTTGTTTAGAAATTTTTCTGGTTTCTAAAGTGGAATGTAATTCTTACGTTTGTTAATTTACATGAACTGAAAAACGTTCTTTCTGTAATTAATTTGATTTGCTTAAAGAATACGTTTTTCCTTTGCTGTCTTGAAATTTTAGCAACTCCAAGTTTTCCTTGTCTCATTACTACAAATTTAACAATTTCGAAGGGAAAATACCATCTCTACACTTCTCCTATCGCCTACTTTTTAGCAAAATTTTGAATAAAATTGCAAAGTACGCAATCCAACATTACTCTTGTATGTTCCAAAAATTCCAATCGTCAGGCACGTTACTTAAAAAACCGATCGCCGTTATCCGATCGCGAAACGGTATTAACGGTCCAAAACAAACGACCCGAATAGGTACACAATGTCACATAGTATCTAGGTACAATAACACACCATGTGAGCAAAAAAAAAAAAAAGAAAAAGAAGGCAAAGAAAAAAAAAACAGCGATATTGAATTAATCCAGGAAACAGGACGGGGATTATCAACGATTCAAAAATGAACGTGTGTGTACATACATCCTCGAGTCTCATCTCTCGTGCATATTTCTCATAATTCTTTAATCGCAGTGCATAGGGTGGTTGTAATGGTGATGATGGTGGTTGTGATGGTGGACGGTTAGCGGTTACTGGGCGGCTGTGGCGAGGTGGTGCTGTGTGGACCAGTGCGGTGGGACTGAGGTGGTCGGTGGTCGTACTACGGGGGCGAACGCACTCCCGTCCCCGGACGTATAGAAAATGCCATACTGTTCGTGCGCTAAAACGAAAATTTCACATAAGGAAAAATCATAACTGCGTGCGCCACAACCAACTGTACCATTCGACGTAAAAAGCGCATGCGTGCTCGGGAGTCCACGTGTACAGTGATTTACATACAACATGCGTATCGGAATCACAACCCGAAAGTGTTTATCACATTTTCGCCAATTTCTTTCTCGAAACCTTTTTCACAGATTCTAACGCAGAAAGTTTCATTTCTAATCGTTCGCGACGGTATTTGCGAAGGTAGATTTATCATTTTTGCGAGTGAAGGGATCTCCCGTTTTCCTAACAATTTCCTCCAATTTTGCGGAAAGTTTCGTTTTCTCGAATAAATATGTCTCGTCGAAGGTAATTGTTTATAATTTCTCAAGTATCGTCTGTCTTCTTGTAAATAATTTTTTGAGTAAATTTTTCGTTTCAAAAATTCAGCAGCAAGGTTGGAATGATATAAGTTTTATAATTTTAAACGTATCAAGTACTATATACGAAACCTAACTACACCTAGTATACTAGATTCATGAAAATGTACTTACATCGATAACGACATAAATAAAACAGTTTATTACTGGCGACGGTCGACAAATTTTACTCAATTATTGCGATAACAGCGAAGCGGAAGTGTCATATGTAAATTTGATTAAAAATCTTCATTTCATTCGACCGAAGTCAAACGTTCACTATTGTCAGAATTTTACTACCGACAAATTTTTAAATAATTAAAATCGCGGAGTAGTGTGAACAGGTTTAAGTTAACCCTCGGACAGCGTACGGTGCGATATTGACACCCGGTGGGTCAAATATGACCCAATACCAAAATCTTTCTCATACTCGAAGCGAAACCACATTTTTTCACTTTACCAGTCGTTATATCGTTCAAAATTATAAACATATTACTAATGTAAGGATAGGAGAAGTCGTGAAAATTACGTCGTTTCGAATGTCGGGTCGAAACAAGCGAGGTCCAAAAGCCGGGTCAAAGGTGACCCGGCGTCCGCCGTCCGAAGGTTAACAGAATCGAGAGATACAGAGATAAAGGTGACAATAGTAAAAAAAAAAAAAGAAATACTTACGCGACGTATAAAGGGTTGGACTACCGGTGTACGGGTTGGCCACTGAGTAACTTCCGTTTGTGCTGTGACTGTGAGGTGTGCTGGCTGAACTTCCACAATAACCCCCGCCTGTTACGACTCCACGTGGACTCGCGCTACTGCTTTGCCTATAAGCGTCGGCACTACCACCGACGCTTCCACCGACGCTACCACCACCGCCGCCTCCGCCACCAGCACCAGCTCCTGTCGTCACGGAATTACCGTCTAGAAATAGAAACCTGCCCGTCAGACGAACTCGTCAGTATTTCATCATTCTGTTCGTAATGTGTTGCCTAGTGCACCGAAACGAGAAAGTGTTGACTCGGGTAACTGTGTCTTTTTTTTTTTCTCAAGTCAAATGTCGCTATTAACGTGAGAGATGCGAGGTGATAAGCGACGACTTGATTATGCAGTTTCTGTTATATCGAGATGCTGGTCGGAAACGGAACGAAATGAATATCTGTATACGGTAAACTTTCTGTATCGCGATTCCTCGTGCAACGCGCTAAATAATTCCCGGCATTTAAAAATTAAATCTGTTTTAGTTCAGCATTACACTGTTTTCTTCATCGCTATCGACTTCTTCTGTTTCGTAATTGTTTCTGTTTTTTGTTGATCGTTTCTTTGTTACATACATTAATATGTTTCTTTTTTTTTTAACCAACAGCGTATATGTGTCACTATTTTCAAAAAACTGTAGGCGGTAATAGGCAGTAAAAGTTGGCATGACAATAATCATTCCAAACGTGATACTTTGGATTATTCGCGTTATACGAGAGTCTACTGAAATATCTATTTATGTATTATAGGTATATCAGGTAAGTGCATATGAAACGTTTTTTGAAATATATTTTTTCAAAAGATAATGGATTTAATCGAAGTAATTTTTATGCGATTCTAAGTCGTTTATTTTTCAATTGAAAACTTCTCTGAATGCTACTATCACAGTGTCTTCATTTCAAAATAATTTATTTATCAAAGAAATTGCTCTTTCACCGTTATTCGTCCTTTGAAACCATCGAAATCACGTGTAAAAATTGTCTCGTAGAAATTGTCACCCTGTATACGTAACGAGAATGAAACGAGAGATCAGCGAAGATACTTATGGCGACGTATTAAATGATCGTGCTCATTAAAAAATTTCATCGCTTCGAATATGTTGTCGGGTGTAGTTATCTGAAATAATATTGTCCTACGTGATAGGTATTATTTGTAATTAATGTGATACGATATTTCCCAGGGCGGTCGTTTCGCATTTGTAATTGTACTAACGAATGGTGTTATCGTATGGACTATAAAATATCCTTTTAATACTTACCGTCCGTCCATTTTGCCGTGCTTCCGTTTTCCTGTACTGTCACCGCTAGTTGTCCTGTATACGAATTGAACGCCGCTGCTGAGCTAGAGGTCGGCGGTGCAGGCGGATGTCCTGATCCTGGACTCCTCGGTGCTCCTGTTATCCCAGCGTTTCCGCTTCTAGGCATACTGTATAAGGCTTCCGCTAGATCTGCCGCCCTTTTTAGTATTATTTCCTTCGGTAATTTTTCGGGATCGCCGGGATGTCGGGGGATAAGTTTTTGTAACCTTTGGAAGCCGTAGTCGATCGTGGGTTCATTTAGTGCTGGAAAATTTTTGAGAGATAGGTTCAGTTCTGGTGTATTAATTTTATTATTTAAATATCGGTTGGAATATCGGAATAGACGGAATCCTTATTCTAACGATCGAGATAAAAGTTTATTCGTGTTGAATAGGTAACCTGAAGCAGTAACAAACATTTCTGGAATATGGTTTTCGTAATATACCTAATCAAGATTATATCGAGTTTTCTAAATGGAACGTTAGAGGAAATGTTAACCCTTTAACTGCATATATGCGTCGTGAAAATTTCTTTACACTGCGCTGTTGGCGACTTTTGGCACATTTTCGCTTTAATTTGATTCTTAATTTTTGCCCTTTGCAGACTTTCATCTTGATTTAATAAAATGCTAAATTTTGAAATTTTGAAATGCCGAAACAAAAGATTTTGCGGCCGCGATTGAACACCTATTTAACGTCTGCCATGCGCGTTACGTACCAAAACCGCCCGCAGCGAAAGGGTTAAACGTAAATCTAGCCAATGTGGAGTGTAATGCTTTTATTCAAATAATATCGAATTCGCAGCAGTGAAAATAAGAGTAGTTTATTTTATTAAGAGTTTTAATAAAAATTGTGCAGTGTAAAATCTGTAGGTCAATTCATTACTATGCAAATAAGTGTTTTCCTTTAATCATTCTTTCAAAAGTTATAAGTATTCGAATTTCGAAGTTAAATAACTAGATTAATTAATTCGAGATGAACTGAAAGTAAAAGTTAATTTATGAAATGCTCCAAGTGTTAAACTTCGATGTGTAATATTGGGAAACAACATTTATGGATTATCCACGTGACACATGTGTCTCCTATTCGTTCTTATTTCTCATCTTTCGTAATCAGTTACTCAAACTTTAAACTACGTAGTATAATTATACTCACAAACATAAACGAATCTACCAGGTGCTCCTTTACAAAATTGTTTACTTTTGTAGGAGAGTGTGACTTCAACGACACCCGGTATCTGTCGTGGTGGTGTTTGCACTCTAATTGCATTTGGTGTAATTAGCTGCAAAAACAAGATACAAAATTTATAAGGATATGTACTACACGCGTTACACAAAGTACAGTACATTCTCTACAAGAGTCAGTAAGTTTGGATTCTACAAGTGACAGTATAGATGGTCCTCCGCCTAGGTCTGCGTCATTGCTGCGCCTATGTTATCTCGCTCGCAGTCTGTCAAGCGTGTAACGCTACACCAGTCGGTTTCCTTTACGAAATTTCACGGCTCGACAAATCATAATAGAAAAATATAATTTCTTTAATTTTACTTTTTTTCATCTGAAATTTTTTTTAACATGTTGGTGAGATTTTTCTGATGAAAATGATGTCAAACGCGATATAATTTGAACAACATTTACTTATTCACTGTCACGCCAAACAGTGAACGTGTTAATAAGTAAATGTTGTTCAAATTATTCTAAACATTTGAGGCACTCCAGTCACTGATGACCACCATGGCCATATCGAGGAAACAATCTAATGTTAATACTTATTGAGTGATTAATTTAATTTCATAATATATCGCTTTGGATGAATTACAAAAACAAATTGCTAGGAAATTACATTAAATAACTGTACACACTATCCGTCGAATGTAGAGGGAGAGCCACCGTTTGGTTGCCAATTGTTTATCACATAGAGTCGGCCTACCTCCACGTAAAAAAAAAAAATGTAGGGTCGATAGCAGCAGAAAAGCTGCTAAACAATTCGAATTAAATGTAACGATAGAAATTATTGCAACAATGCGTCATGCAATTGAAAAATTGAAAGAATCAAAAGAAAAAACGCGAATTCGTATCTTTTTCGATTCTAGAATATAAGAAAATTTGAATAAAATACGCGATGAGAATTGGGGAGAAGTATAAGTTAAACGCGTAAAAATATTCAATAATAAACGAGCTAGGGACGAAGCTATTATTTCAATACGCGATGCACTGACTCTAGTATTTACTAATATTTAAAAATTCTCGTATAAATTTCGAAAATAGATTATTAATTACGGTAAACTACTGAGACGGATTAATTTAGGGTGGGCAAAGTGCACTCGTTCCAAATCAGCTCACAATATACAATAATAAATCAACTAACTACTTAACGTGAAATTCATGCAAATTCCTTGGATGGTAAATTATTAGTAAACAAAATTCAATATCAGAGAAAATATATGAAAAATTTAAAATTAATTTCAATTGCTGGAAGAAAAGTACATATTGATTGTTATGCCCTAACGAAAAAGCAACCACTCAAAGTCATTTCAATATCCTATTCGACAAGTCTGAAGAACAACGATGACTAAAATTCAAATGTTTATTTCCCTAAACCATCAAAATAATTTCGAAATATTTTATTCGAAGCGGAGTATTCCAAGTCAGTATCGATAATTGAAGAAATTATTTGATTGTATTTAAAAGAACCGAAAGGAGAATATTTAAAGTCTGATATTAAATGTCTAGCAAGTACCAGTAATTGGTAAAATGATTTATATTTGTTTTAAAAGGAAAATTTCTAATAGGTATTAGTTAAAATGAATTGTTATTCAGTCTACTGTATTGAAATTCTAATTGATTCTAATGTATACAAGTGTTACAAGAAGGCTGAGTGTGTACAGGGTGGACACTGACTCTAGTATTTACTAAAATTCAAAAATTCTCGTATAAATTCCGAAAATAGATTATTAATTACGGTAAACTACTGAGACGGTTTAATTAAGGGTGGGCATGGTGCTGCTTTAGTTTGAAATGATTTATAAACACATAATTAACAGAGGAAAAACCGTGAAACGGCAAAACGTCTACATTCTAATTGTTATAACATGTAAACAGAACTTTAAATTTAGTGTAAACAGAAAAAATATATAATACAATTTATTTCACGGTATTGCAACAAATAAACGTTGAATCAATATTTAATTCGTATAAAAACAATTATTTAACGTAATAATTTTACCTTCACTATGGCTATTTTTAATCTACGACCACAGGTCAACCTGATTTCTAATCCTTACGAACTTTAAATTCAGTCTAAACTGAGAAAATATATAATACAATTTATTTCACGGTATTGCAACAAACAAACGTTGAATAGATTCTTAATTCGTATAGAAACATTTATTTAAAATAATAATTTCACCTTCACTATGGCTATTTTAAATTTACGACCAAGGGTCAACCTGATTTTTAATCCTCCGAACTTGATTTCACAACGAGAAAGTAATAAGATCGTTGAAACGTACTTATTTGTCAAAGAAACTTGCAAAAATGTATAAATAATAATATGTAATGTTTTAACAAATTTTTGGAAGTATAAATTAATAATAAAATTGTGAAAATTAATAAATTATACGTTATTATAACATTAATAGAATTATGACTAAACCGAAGTTCGAAGTCGAGTATTTAAAGTCTGATATTACGTGCCTAGCGAGTGCCGGTAATTGTTAAAATTTGTTTAATAATTAGTAATAGAAATTCTAATTGATTCTAATGTATACAAGTGTTACAAGAAGGCTGAGTGTGTACAGGGTGGACATAGACTAGCTAGTAGCCCCCGACCACTCTATTCACATCTCAGAACCTTCAGGTCAAAATACGCCGCGAAGTGTCTAGGGCCCAGTATAAAGGGTAAATGATTTCGCGGGACATCGGCGGGTCCTTATATACCTGCGGTACCCTCTCCCCAAAGTCATTAGCAAAATCGTCGGTTAGGTCAGGCGGGAAATTTTCGCGGGAGATTTTCGCGGGAGATTTCCGATATCGTAACACGGTATAATTTATCAATTTTCACAATTTTATTAAAAATTTATACTTCCGACAATTTGTTATAACATTGCATATAACAATTTATACGTTTTTACAATATTCTTCAATGGAAACATAGGTTTTAGCGTTCTCGTTACTTACTCGTGGTTAAATTAATTTCGTAGGGATTAAAAATCAGGTTGACCTGTGGTCGTAGATTAAAAATAACCATAGTACAGCTAAATTTATCGTGTTAAATAATTCTTCTTACACGAATGAAAAATGTATTCAACGTTTGCTTGTTACAATACCATGAAATAAATTATATTACACATTTTCTCTATTCACACTGAATTTAAAGATTATAACGATTAAAAATCAAGTTGACCTGTGGTCATTTATCAAGAATAATCATAATAAAGCTGAAATTATTGTGTTAAATAATTTTTTTAATACGAATTAGGAATTTATTCAACGTTTGCTTGTTACAATACCATGAAATAAATTATATTATACGTTTTCTATATTTACACTAAATTTATCGTTCTATTCTAACAAGCAAACGTTGAATAAATTCCTAATTCGTATTAAAAAAATTATTTAACACAATAATTTCAGCTTTATTATGATTATTCTTGATAAATGACCACAGGTCAACTTGATTTTTAATCGTTATAATCTTTAAATTCAGTGTGAATAGAGAAAATGTGTAATATAATTCATTTCACGACACTAAAACAAACAAACGTTGAATACATACAAATGTAACGATAGAAATTATTGCAATAATGCGTAATGCAATTGAAAAATTGAAAGAATCAAAAGAAAAAACGCGAATTC